TGTCATGACAGAACACTCTTGCCTTGGCAGCTATTATGTCTGAATTCAGACCTCTGCTACCACTATTCCACTTCAGTTGCAGAGCTGCTTTTGTTTTAGTTTTATCTCCTTGTTTTAGTGGTTAAACATGGCTTTACAAGAGTGTCTTCTCTAACTGTGACCCTGAACAAAAACATTGTTTTGCCTTTGGTGGATAGATGTGGGATGAGAATGGTGCTGGTCTTTGTACCTTTGGTTTGCTTGTTAGTAATTGTAGCTACAGCTTTTCTTTCAACCTTTCACTCTGAGCTCTTAAGGTCTTGAGCTTGACTTTTTGTTTTTCCAGTGCAGTACACAATATATTTGAGGTTCAGATTAGATGTTTGGAAGACTTCTTCCCTGTTACGGTATTCAGGCACTGGGATATTGCCCAGGGAGGTGGTGGAGTCACCATCCCTGTAGGTGTTTCAGAGGTGTCTGGATCTGGCACTGGAGGATCTGCTTTAGGGTTTAGGAGTTCCGGCAGTGATAGGTTAATGGTTGGACTCAGTGATCTTAGAGGTCTCCTCCAGCCATGATGGTTCTATGATTCTACATTGAATATGTTTTAAAATAGACTTTTCTTATAGTGGATGCACAAGGAAAGTACATTTTTCATCAGTATTTGGTCCATTGCTTTATTTGCAACAAAGTCCGTGGTATTGCATTTCGTGTTGTCTTGACTACAGCAACATTTTTCTGTTCTTGTTTCCTTTGGTCTTTAGCTTTGCTTCCTAGTAGCAGTTATTATCTTCTGAACATTAAACTCTACCTTAATATTAGCATGAGTATGTGGCTTATTTTGTTCACCTTTGACACTTGAAACGTAATTGTCTCATTAAATGTTACTGAGTTTTAATACGGGAGTAATTTTTTTATTTTTTTTATTTTTTATTTTTTTTTATTTTTTTTTTCTGTGCATGAGTTTCCCAATGTCTGCCTTATTTAATGTTTTTGCCCAGAGAAACTGGCAGGCTTGGAGAGCTCTGTTTTGACACATGTGAATATCACTAATGTGCAGATTGAAATACAGAGAGTGTGGGGATTAGGGGTGAGTGGGAGGAGGAGTTGTGTTTTGGGCCTGTCTTGTTTCAGTCCAACTCTTCTGGTAAAACCTCTGTGCTTTCTCTCAGGGAGTTATACTCAAGTCATACTTTATGCATCTTCAGGACTCTCCAGTTACTTAAAACATGCAAAATCTGTGAAACCTGTTAGCAGTTACTGCCCCTTTGTGATGGTTTCAGGAAGGAAAAGCTTACAGTGCAGTTAAAGACAATATAGTCTTCATCTAAGTGCTGCTTTTTTTTTCCCCTGTAAGAATTTTTATGTGGAAAACTTTACTACTTTGTTTTACAGCAAAACTGTTGCTTTGATAGAAACTGGAAAACATGTTCCACAGTGAATATTATCACCGAATTCCCAGTTGGCAAACTTAGCCTTTCAGTATTGTTTATCATAGAACCACAGTATGTTAAGAGGGTTGGAATGGAGCTTAGAGATGATCCAGCCCCAACCCCTGCCCTGGGCAGGGACACCTCCCACCAGAGCAGGTTGCTCAAAGCTTAATCC